TCTTGTAAACACCTACCTTAGAGAGGTTTTCTTGTTTACTTATTTTATCCTTTTGTAAAGGGGAAAGGTTCTAGCTTAGCCCGTGTAAAAGCTAGGGAAAGGTTCTAGTTTAACCCGTGAAAAACTAGGGAGTTGTAAGGTTATCTCTTTTTCCTCAAAAGAAAGAACCACTATAAATCGTTGTGCAATTCTTTATCTTTCAATCTCCTTACTCCCTAAACAAAAACCGTTTTGACCCCTCTTTGCAAATCGTTTCGGTTGTCGATTCGAGCGTCCAAAAATCCCAACAATTGGCATCAGTGCCTAACTCGTTAAGAAGGTTTAACCACCTTGAGACGGTCCTAGAAGACGCTCTACCAATTCCCGACACAACCGAGAAGATGGCTTCCATCTCTGGCTCGTTCCACATGGAAGACTCCCTACCAACGGACAAGCCTCCATACTTCAATGGAGTCAACTATAGTCATTGGAAGAAATTAATGAAGGTATTCATCCAATCCAATGATCTTGATGCATGGGAGATAATCGAGAACGGCTACTCTTCTCCAAAGAAAAAGGAGAAGAAGAAGAGTGACAAAGAACGGAAGAAAGCTCAACTTAATGCCAAGGCCATGCACATGCTGTTTTGTGCATTTGGTCATGAAATCTATGAAGGGGTTTCTTCATGTTCAAGTGCCAAGGAGCTTTGGAATAAGCTTGAGGAAATCCATGGAAACAAGAAAGAAAAACCAACAAAGGTGGTGTCTCTAATGGCTTGTGAAGAGCCTGAGGTATCTTCTAACTCAAATGAATTTAATTCATATACGTTTGATGAGTTACAAGATGCTTTTAATAGGTTATATTCGGAGTTTGAGACCATGAACTCCAAATATAAGAAAATGATTTCAAAATTTAAAATCGAAAACGATTTTCTTTTGAAAACAAAAATAGATTTTGAAAGCCAAAATGAAATTTTGAAAAAGGATTTAGAGCTTTCAAAAATAAAAACTGAAAGTTTTGAAAAAGAAAATCTTGATTTAAAAGTTAAGCTTGAATGCTTAACAAAAGAAAAAGAAATCATTTTAAATAATTCATTTAGTTCAATAATGACAATATGCTCACATTGTCATTATCATGGTCATAAGGAACATATTTGTCCTTTGAAGAAAGGAAATCGTTTTAAAATTAGACAAGTATGGGTTCCGAAAGGAACAAGGGCATTGAACCTAACGTCCAAGGATCCAAAGCAATTTGGATACCACAATCAAAATAAATGTCTCTTGTAGGTGTGTGGGAGCAATAGTGATGAAAGTGATGATATTCAAGATGCTCTAGCCACACATGAAAAAGGAATGGGTAACCTCTAAACTTAATGCTTTTAATTTTGGTTATTTGGTTGCTCATTTGATTTTAAGAATGCATGAGTTTTGGTTTTAAATGATTATGCATCATTGTTTTAATCTCATGTATGTTGAAAAGATTATTATGATGAACATTTTAAAGTTATATTAATTTTTGAGAATTTTTAGTTCATCATAATGAATTTTGGTCAAAATTGGTTTTAAATACAAATGATATCTCTCTAACAATTGATATCAAATTTCAAAATACTTTGATTTTATAAATTTTAATTTTTGGCCTAAATTTGAATGTTTATGCATGTGGTATAAATGAAAATGATATCTCTCTAGCAATTGATATCAAATTTTTCAAAATGCATAACATTTTTGGAAAACTTTATGCAAATGCACTTAATTTTAACAATTGGTATTAATATCAAATTTTAATAATTGGTATTGCATAAAGTATTTTAGACTTGGATATATTGAATTTCATATGCCTCTAACATGATTGTTATTCTTTGTAGAAATTCAATATTTTGTTTAAGTGTCATGAACTCAAAAGCTAAATTTTGTTTGGAATGCATTTATTGAGGGGGAGCTTTGATTTTTCAAATGATTTTTAAATGTCAAATTTACTACTTACTCTCCAAAGTTATTTTGAACTTCAAAGATTGAATTATTTTTTATATAACAAAAAGGGGGAGAAGTTTGGTTTGAAAAATTCAATTTCTTAATGAAAAAGGGGGAGCTTAACATTTTCATATATTTTCCAACAATTGGTAACAATTGATATATTTTTCATTAAACAATTTATTAAGGGGGAGTTTTGCCAAAAACAATTTTTCAAATGTTTTGTTATATCATAAAGGGGGAGATTGTTGAACTATGTTTTGATATAACAATTTAAGGCAAAATGTTTTTGGACTTGAATTGAATTTGAAAAATGTTTTTGGATTTGAATTGAATTTATTCAAAGTTTTCAAAAGGTTTCAAAAATAATTCAAAGTCCATTAAATTTGGATTTGAGCAAAAATGCTAAAGGGTGTCAAAGTGCATCCATGCATCCCTGCAATGCATCCATGCATCCCTGCAGTGCATCCATGCATCTGCACTAATGCATCGATGCATCAGGCAATGCATCCATGCATCCAAACATCGAATGTAATTAGTGCATCGATGCATCCTGCCATGCATCCATGCATCAAGGCTGCAACGGCTAGTAACGGCTAGTTTATTTGAATTTAATGAAGGGGTATCGATGCACCTTGATCATGCATCGATGCATCATGTTATGGGCAGCCTTTTTGAGTAGAAAAATCATCCACAAACGACTCCAAAATATCCCCAACGGCTATATACAATATCAAACACATTCCAAGCTATAAATACAAGCTGAGGACACTTGAAGAAGCAAGAGAACAACTATCCAAGCAATCAAACACAAGAGAAGAGTTTTTCATTCTTATTTCATCTTTCTCTTGTGAATATTTTGTTCTTGAGAGCTCAATCTTGTAAACACCTACCTTAGAGAGGTTTTCTTGTTTACTTATTTTATCCTTTTGTAAAGGGGAAAGGTTCTAGCTTAGCCCGTATAAAAGCTAGGGAAAGGTTCTAGTTTAACCCATGAAAAACTAGGGAGTTGTAAGGTTATCTCTTTGTCCTCAAAAGAAAGAACAAATTAGTGAATTTGTTGGAAAATCCTTAGTGAGGAGCTAAGGTAGTGGATGTAAACTTTGGTTGAGAAAGTCGAACCACTATAAATCGTTGTGCAATTCTTTATCTTTCAATCTCCTTACTCCCTAAACAAAAACCGTTCCGACCCCTCTTTGCAAATCGTTTCGGTTGTCGATTCGAGCGTCCGAAAATCCCAACATCTTTTAATTCCACTAATGACAAGTCAAATTTAGATTTGAAATCTAATTAATACTTTCCTATCAAGATTTCACTTTTCCACTTCCTTTCTTTAATCATTCCTATACCCCTCATCTTGTTGTTTTAAAATAAATTAAGCTTTCCTTAAGCTTAGTTATCGTCTAATGATCATAAATCAACCTTATATTCATCAAGAAATTAACTAACAAGAGATCTCGCCTTTAGCTTGGCTTTCACGTATGAAGAAGATGAAGAAGAGGAGAACTCTGGAAACTTGTCTTTGGTTTCCTTCACTTCCACGTGGGTTAATTTAATACCCTAACCCAAAAATTATCTTACCATCAAATGACCTTTGTAGCCTTTCATTCTTCCTTCTTTACAATTTAATCCTACACAACATTCCTCATATAAGTTCTTGAACTATTTAATTATTCTACTTTAGTCACTAAATTCTAAAATTTAACAATTTGATCACTAACCCGATATTGAGGATGTTACATCAATGGCGTTTTTCTGCATACATAAAGTCTCATACTTGAGACCTATTTAAACAATCAAACTACGTATTACTTGAATCAACCCCATCAATAAAAATAAAAAGTATTAAACATTATATTTTCATTCATAAGATTCAAACTCCAAATCCTATTTAAAAGATATTAAAACGTTGTAACCACGTACAATTTAATCACTTATATGAACAAGTCAAAAAAATATAAAATTATAATAAAAGGTTTTACTCGTAACTTATTTAAAAAATTTATAATATATAGTTTATTTAGAATGGTTGACTCTGATTTTAAAGAGTATGGTATAAGAAAAATATAATATTTAATGTATTAAACATTATTCATATAAGTTGTGTTTAAATGTCACAAAGTAATTACAAGAAAACATAATTATGACCCATTTATATGGTAGTTTTTTTTATTATTAGTTAAAGTGATTATAAGATAGTATTTGTTTATAAAAAAATTTAATCGTTGATAATGTATATACATTCGCAGACACAATTATTTCAACCACTATATTTAGAAAACAATATTCTCTCCGACCACTAAAATATTTAATATGTTTATATGTGTAGTTTATTTACTTTAGAGACTCACTAATTATGATATAATGTAAATGTGTGTAACTACATAAAATTTAATTATTCGTTGATATTCTTAAAGACATTTGAAGAATAAAATAAAATAATTATAAAATATTTTATTTGTAAGTTATTCATTTAAAAACTCAAGAGTTATGGTTGTATATATTTTCATATTAACATATTTTCTAGTAATCTTAACCACCTTGATCCAATAGAAAGAGGCAAAGAAGGAACCAAAAAGGAAGAGAATGGGAACGAGGGAGAGAGATCTGGAGATGCTAATCCCTGTAGCGTCAATCTGTGAAGATGAAGCCTCCGAATCCTCCACCCCTCCCGCTATTCCCACCGCCTCCCATGGCCGAGAGGTGCCTTTCTTCTTTCTTTTGGCGTCTATTCATTCTCATATTGGGTTTCTAGAGGGACATGATGTGCAACCACTAGAGATGAAAATTTAGTTTATATATGAAAGGTTACATGAGACAATAGGAGCTTTAGGTTAAAATTGCATTCTGACAGGTTTGGGGTTCCAATGCCATCATTTTACGAAAATTACAGACATTGTTTGAACCATCAGTTAGGTTTGAAATTTGAACAGAAAATATAGACAACAACGTTACCCACTTGTGATTTATCATGTTTAAGATAGAATATATCAGACAGTAAAAAATTCATAGAGCTTCTTGTTTGTGACTATAGTTCTGGTTTTGTTTTGCATTTTGGCATAGGCTTTTTTAAAAGTCATCCGCAGCTGGGTTTGGAAAAAGTTTATGACAGGATGGTAACTCCCTTTCATCTTCAACCTTTCCTCCAATTTTTTTGTTTTCATGGCATTTAAACTGTTCATTTCAGTGACTAAAACATATGTTTTTGTTGGTGTCCATTGTTTTGAAATTGTTTGAATTGTTTTTGTGATGAAATGGGATATATTACTTTGCAGTGTCATCCTTTTTCCACTAGCTATTACATTCTATGTTACTTGGGGTTTAATTCACCTCGTTGATGGTTTCTTCTCCCCAGTCTTTGATCATCTAGGCATTAATATTTTCGGTAAGCTGAATTGTATTCCTTTAATTTCTTTGATCATCTTTTAGCTCTTCCTAAAACATAACCTGGAATCAATATTCCATTCAAATTAAACATTTGCTGCTTTGAATGAATTGAGAAAACATGGTGCAGGTCTGGGATTTGCTACATCCATCACATTCACCTTTTTAGTAGGTATTTTCATGTCGTCTTGGTTAGGAGCGTCAGTTCTTACTCTCAGCGAATTGTTCATTAAGAAGATGCCTCTCGTGAGCTATATTTATAGTGCCTCAAAGCAAATAAGTACTGCGATTTCACCAGGTAAGTCTTCAGTCTTCCCATATATGAACCTTTAATGTCTGCAGTTTCCAAAACTAACTCGAACGTGGCACAAAAAATTCGAAAACCGATTTCGCAGATCAGAATTCTAATGCTTTCAAAGAAGTCGCGATCATTCGGCATCCCGGTAAGGGACAATATATGTTCGGTTTCATCACTTCTACAGTTGTTCTTCAGAAGGGTGTAGGTGAAGAAGAACTCTGTTGTGTTTATGTTCCTACAAACCATCTGTATCTTGGTGATATCTTTCTCATTAGTTCAAGAGATATTTTGAGGCCTAATATATCCGTTCAAGAAGGGATCGGTATGAAACTCGAACTCGAAACTTGAAACTCGAAAAGCAAATCATCCCATTATCATCCAACTCTTTTTTTCTGCAGAAATTGTGATCTCCGGGGGTATGTCTGTGCCTAAACTATTCACCACAGTTGATGCATCAGGCATTTCAACAAGAACAATCAATTTTTAAGGATCCATACGAGAATGGAAGACTAATAATTAAAGCTCATTTCCTGTCCGTTATTGTATACATGCTGGACTGGACGAACCATACACAGTTCATTTAAGAAATCAATAATCTTTTGAGAACGAAAGGGAAGGGTTATAACTTATAAGATAACTCCGTTGATAAAACTTCATTAGTTGTATTCGTTAAAATATACAAAATATTGTGAATTACTTTTATTAAATAAAATGTAATATGTATTTTGATATTTTATTATTAAAAATATTTAAATTAAATATTAATAAAAAAATTCTTCAATAATATTTTTCTTAACAAATACTTGAATTAGTATAGATGTGTATTTATACTACTTTTTTCAAAATTTTAATTTAACAAATTACATAATACTCTAAATCATACTACTTTTGGCCCATGAGTATTCAATATTCCTTCATTGGCGATGATGCCCACTGGGAAGCCCAAGAAAGAACGGAGGCGTTAAGTAGTCAAATTCCCGGTGAAATTAAATAAATAAAGTAAATAAACAGATGAAAATCTCGACTTTTCCGCCAACCTTGTCCTGTCGTGTCCGATCCTTGCATCTTCCGACGAAATGAATGCGTCTTTGGAAAGAAGATACACAAATTGCAAGAGCACTGCAGCCGATTCTTCCGCCTCCAACGCCGGCGATGTCAAACTACGCGCCTCCATGACTGACGCCAGGATCGTCAATGGTCCCAGCTTGACTGGTTTGACTTTTGCAGTTAAAAAACCCGGCTTCTACCGTTACGTCCCCAAAAAGGCGAGCTTTACTTGAAAAGATCTCTTCCTTTAACAACTCTTTTGAACAAATCATTGATTTAATTAACCAATTGAGCTTTTCGCATTCTTTCTTTGCGGTGGGATTTTGGGTTTCAGTTAAGGAACACATTTAGGCTTGCGAAGAAACCGTTTGAGCTAACTTACAGTCGCAAGAGAGGGGACAAACGGACGGTATACGACGGGGCACTGGTGTTCGATTCTGGTAGCAAGGTGTCGGCTTCTTACATGCTTGGTACGAGGAACTGTAAGCTCAAGTATAGTTACTTGCATGGAGGTGTTACAACATTGGAGCCTTGCTATGATTTGGGAAAGAATGTGTGGGATTTCGCAATTTCCAGGAGATTATACGACAATGTCTTTAAGGCGACTTATCAGACGTGGTGCAAGAATTTGGCTTTGGAGTGGTTGAGAAATCGTGTGTTTAATGGGACTTTTAAGGTAACTAAAACTAACTTAGATCATTTTCTTTCATCTTTTTTATTGAACTTTTTAGTCACTATGGCCTTGAAGTCTGCAATTTAAGTCTTGATCGTAGGGAATAATACTGCATTTACCCCATTTTATTACAATATAGAGAGAGGTTCTTTTTCAGCAAAGAAGTTGGTGACAGTGAACTGTATGTTATTCGGACTTAGGTCTGAGTGTTATACCCTGTCTGGTTCGGATATGTTCAATTTTCTTTTCCAACATTTCTGTGTATATGTGAAATCTTAGAGGATCATATGGTGATATCCATGTTCCTATATGTGCTGGACACATATACTTTACGAAAAATGAAGAGTCAGAGCAACATAGGTTCAAGATGAGAGCAACAATGAAAACTGAAGTAATATGAAGCCTAGGAAGTGTGACATTTTCTATAAGAGACAACATGGCTGCCTGGTGGGGTTCCGAGGAAGATAATTAGTTAGCTGATGTTTCATTACATCCCGGAATGTTTTCTAGTGTTTGAGAAGGATGTAGAATGTGGTCACTGCAACAACTCACTGCCGGAATGTTGCCTCAGACGTTAAGAGCTTGAAGCAAAGCTAGGCAGCCTAGGCTTTCAATTCCTTGATTGTTTTGCTCATGTCTTTCTCAAATTCATGCTTCGTTTCTATCTGCTTAAGGCAAGGGTTCTATTCAATGATCGAGTCATTTGGAGTACTTAAAAACTGAAGGTGCCTCTCATTATTTCCAACTGATTAACAATGATATCAAAAGTGAAGCTAGGTCATGTTGCTTTTATGGAAGCGGAACTAGTGATTTGTTGGGAGGCCTACAAATGCCAATGCGATCTTTATACGGAATCACTTGAATAACTATTTTTCTCAGACCAAGGAGATGGCAGATGGTTCAGTGTACTCTGCAAAGACTGGATGTATTTTAGAGAGGAACATCCATTTTTTGTGATTTATGAGGTGCTTTCTTGAAATGGTGACTTCCTAGTTAGCGATCTAACTAACAACTTTTCATAAATTACTTTGAGTCCTCGTCTGAGATTATTTCTAACCATGATCGATTTTGCATTCCAGATTTCAGCATCTGTCGACCTGGCTGAAAAATCTAAGGACCCGAAATTTATTGCCGAGACTACTTGGGAGCTGGAAATGTGATTTGTTGTAATCTTATCTATTTGCATGTTTGAATCGTATAAAATTTGGAGAAACAGCTTACCACCCTTAAGCTGTTCCAATATTACCATCTCAATGGACTGTGACTGTACCAAACTTGTACCATATCAGATTATGGAATTTCAGGTCCCAATTTCAGCAAGATCTCAGTATTTGTTAGATTTTGTTTGCCCTTTTGTGATCCGAAAAAGCCGTCATCAAACCAGAAGAGAGATGCACAGAAAGATTCTTTATCTATAGAAGCAAGTACAATAGTAAATCACAAGAACTAAAATCTGCAATAAATGAGAATGGCTGAATGGCGAAACAGCTTTCCTTTATGCATGTGGATGAAAACTGGAAAGGAATCACAGGATGAAGTAAATTCTCTTGTTAGTTTTATTGTTCTCGGACGGGGCACCGAGGTTGGACAGGTTTAGGGTTGTAAATGAGACGAGACAGATCGCGAGTTACTCTCAAAGTATATCGTTTAGAGCTTCGCACACACTGAATATCTTCAGCATCGAAAAGCCAACTATAAAATCGAGAACTCTCGAAGGAGGGTGCTCATCGGCCATAATATATGTCCATGTTCAAAATGAAATTACCTTTTGATCCCATTGTTGGAGTCCTTCAGTCGCTGAGCAGGTTGCTCATTAGCTAGTTCTACTAGGGGTTCTTAAGAACATGTGGCGAGGATATTGAAACCTGGTCCTTTTTTCTTTTCTTTTTTTACTTCAAGAAAAACTATGAAATGTTTACATTTGAGCTCGAAATTTGGTTCTGCTGATATCAGACTGTATGTAAATGCATTAATAACTCTTTTCATTTGCATTTTTCCTTCAATCCACAAGTGAGAAGCATCAATATTTTAATATAAAAAAAGCTTGGAAACAAGGTCATAAATTCATCTTAACAACAGAAACCAGTAAAATAAATTTCATTCTGTGAGGTTTTCCCCAATTCCAAGAGAAGGATGAAATAATTCTGTCAACCAGAAAAAAGGCCGACAGTATCTACAAAGTATTGATTTTGATTCTAAAAATAATCCAATTTCTCTAACAATTTAACCAGGGTGTGTGACAATCAACTTACAAAAAAAAAAAAAAGGAACAATTGCAGATGAAAATGTAACTCTTCCAACCTTCTATTTAAGATATTCTCCTATATGTTTTTCCATATCCGACTGCAATAATCTGGAAGGACAACAGAGTTCTTTTTTTAGCATACATTCACAATGACATCTTTAGTTTGTTAGCCTCGCTCTAACATCGGGGCCTTCCTGCTTCCAAGTGTGAGCTCGAGATCATCCAATCCTACTTCATGGACCCTCTCTCCTTCCCATGGCTTCACTTGTCCACTCTCAAACTGAAAAGTCCGAACCATGCCCTTTCTCTTTGATCAAATCATTGCGCCAACTTCGTGGAGCAAAGGGTTTCATGAGAAAAAACTCGGAGAAGTTGGCATTTGAGATGTAGAAGGTGCAAAGTTTTGAAAGTTTATCCATTGACCGGATTCAACTGTCGATGTATCAGACTCGTCACATTCAAGTATAGTAGCCGGGCCATGAAAATGACAGTGAGTTGGACTAGCCGGAGCAGAGACTGCAAACAAAGGGTAGTTAAAAGAGTTTATGGACTCTTTGTCAATGGCTTCCCAGTTTGGAATTGGCTTAGGATTTCTTGAGGTTGGAGATGAAAGTGGTGGTGTCACCGGGGCACTGTTTGAGATTCGGAGAGGTGACAGAGATGAAGGGATGGTACATCGAAGTAACGGGAGGAGACTGGATGGGCTATTAGCATCTAGCCTGGTGGGACTAGGCAAAGAAGAGGAGGAAGGACTACCTTGACATGAAGGAATCGGCTTGGAAATGCAGACGACAATGGGCTTGGATTTTGGGAGGAAAATGGGGTAATTTTAGCTGAACTGCCAAGTATATAAACTGAAGCCAGAGGTGGCTTACATCCCTAGCAACAAATGCAATTAAAAACCAAATTGATCAAAAGTACTTACATTTATCAACAAAGAGCCATGAGAATTATACAGGAAGCAATGAACCAAAAAAAGAGAGAAGAATGAGCAATTAATACCAAGCTAATTACGAAATATTGTTCAATGTTCATCAATGTTCCATTTCAGCTATTTAATGAAGTTCCAGTTCTAATACAGATCAATGAATGATTGTTATTTCACAACTGCTAGTTTCAAGAACAATGATTTCCATTTTCACCCAATATTTAACGATTCATCAATGTTTCATTTCAACTATATAATGAAGCTCCAGTTCCATCACAGATCAATGAATGATTATCTAATTAACATCTGCTAGTTCAAGAACAATGTTGGAAATTTGGTCATTGAAAACCTTGATTTAGTCATAATCTGTGAGATATTCTAAGATTTGTTTTCTATGTAAATATAGAAAGTAAAAGATGTAAATCAAGAAAAAGTATGAAAGTAGAAACTGTCAAATATTGGCTCTAATTAGTTTCCTTTTTTTGTTGTAATTTCCCTCTGTATAAAAAGAGCCTTGTACTCATTCAAGAAATAAGACACGTATTATTTCTTCATTCTTTTCTAAGTTGGTGTCATAGCCATAATCGTGCCTTAACCCTAAAACACATCAATTCCAAAATCACCGTAGCCATGTCCGAAGTCGCATCGGAAATCACCTCAACCCCTGTTGCGGCCACTCCGCAACACCACCCCAATTCTCATTCCGTCCAAATCACCACCGTCCGCTTAAATGGTGACAACTTCCTCCGATGGTCACAATCAGTCTGAATGTATATTCGTGGGCAAGGGAAAATCGGTTACATCACTGGTGACAAGAAGTCTCCTGCTGTTAATGATCTGCTGTACGCCACTTGGGATGTTGAAAACTCCATGGTTATGACATGGCTGGTCAATTCCATGGAAGAGGACATAAGCTCCAATTACATGTGCTATCCTACTGCAAAAGAATTATGGGATAATGTTAGTCAGATGTATTCTGACCTGGGCAACCAATCTCAGGTTTTTGAGTTGACTTTAAAATTGGAGGAGATTCGTCAAGGAGATAATTCTGTCACCACATATTTCCATTCGTTGAAAAGGCTTTGGCAGGATCTTGATATATTTAACACATACGAATGGAAAAGTACTGACGACTGTAATCACCATAAGAAAACTGTAGAAGATAGCCGTATTTACAAGTTTCTTGCCGGCCTCAATGTTGAGTTTGATGAAGTACAAGGAAGGATTATTGGCAGACCTCCTCTTCCATCCATTGGCGAAGTATTTTCTGAAGTTAGAAGAGAAGAAAACCGAAGGAATGTCATGCTCAAAAAGAGGAGTACTGGTGAGTTAATTGAAAATTATGCTTTATTGAGTGATGTTGCAGCCTACAAGGCAGCAAACTACCAGCGCAGGTCTGATGATAAACCACGGGTCTGGTGCAATTTTTGCAACAAACCCCGCCATACACGTGAGACATGTTGGAAAATTCATGGCAAACCTGCTAACTGGAAAATCAACAAGCAAGGAGAGAAGAATCGTGGAATTCCTACTACAAGTGAAGCTGACTTAGGTCCCTTCAACAAAGAGCAGATTGATCAACTCTTGAAGCTGATAAAATCCAATTTCTCATCCGGTATTCCTAGTGTTTCTTTAGCACAAACAGGTAGTAATCCTAAAGCCCTTTCTTGTCCAAATTCCTCTCCGTGGATAATAGATTTCGGAGCCTCAGATCACATGACTAGTTTTTCTCATTTATTTAATACCTATTCACCTTGCCCTGGAAATGAAAAAATTAGAATTGTCGATGGTAGTTTTTCACCTATTGCAGGAAAAGGACTCATTAAACTGAGAGAGAAAATTAATCTCAATAATGTTCTTCATGTCCCTAAATTAGTCTACAATCTTTTGTCTGTCAGTAAACTATCTAGAGATTCTAATTGTTGCATTACCTTCTTTGAATCACATTGTGAATTTCAGGATCGGAACTCAGGGATGATGATTGGACGTGCTAGGATGATTGAAGGTCTTTATTACTTTGATGAAATATCTATCAGTAATAAAACAGTTCAGAGCTTTAGTGGTACTAGTTCAATTTCTGTTCGAGAAAAATAATGTTGTGGCACTATAGACTATGACATCCTAGTTTTTTTATTTGAAATACTTATTTCCAGAATTATTTAAAGGGATTGATTGTTCTTTTTTTCATTGTGAAAATTGCGTTTTTTCAAAAAATCATCGTTCCTCTTATTTACCAAAAGATTATCAGGCCTCCAAACCTTTTTATCTGATTTATAATGATGTTTGGGGCCCTTCTAAAGTTACTACTATTTCTGGTAAAAGGTGGTTTGTTACTTTTATTGATGACCACACACGGTTATGTTGGATTTATCTAATGAATAAGAAGTCTGAAGTGAAAGATTTATTCAAAAAATTTTACACTCTGATTTAAAACCAATTTCAAACCAAGATTAGTATTTTACATTCTGACAATGGAACAAAATATTTTAATGAGCACTTATGTGATTTTTTGAAAGAGAAAGGGATTTTTCATCACTCTACATGTCGGGATACCCCTCAACAAAATGGCATTGCAGAACGAAAAAATAAACATTTACTTGAAGTAGCACGTGCCATAATGTTTTACATGCATGTTCCCAAATACTTATGGGGTGAAGCAGTTTTAACAGCCGCTTACTTGATAAATAGGATGCCTACTAAGGTGTTAACATACAAAACACAACTCGATTGTCTAAAATCATTTTTTCCTAGAACAAGGTTGTTTTATGATTTTCCTATAACAAGGTGTTAACATACAAAACACAATTTCATTCAAAACTTGACCCACATGCTATTAAATGCATTTTTTGGGGGTACTCTTCAAATAAAAAGGGTTATAAGTGTTTTGATCCTCAAACAAAAAAAATTCATGTGAGTATGGATGTGTCGTTTTTGGAAACAAAACCTTATTTCACAAAAAATTCTCTTCAGGGGGAGACAAGTGATGTAGAAGACAATTTTTGGGACATTTCTATTCCACTACCCAATGTCATTATCCTACACAAAAACCATGCATTTCTGAGAGTGGTCACTTTGAAAATCCAAATTCAAGTGTTTCTGTTGAAAACATTTTGATGTTTCGATATAACAAATTAAATTAAAAGAATTTTAATTTTGAAAATGATTTTTCTAAGCATATTCGATATATTAAATCGAATATCAAAATATTACTCAAAGTATTTCAAAGTTCATTTTAAATCCTTACTAAAGTGTAAAATTAAGTTTTAATCTTAAAATAATTTCTAAACAATTTTACAAAGTATTTCGAACCGTTTCAAAGCCAAAAATTACAGTTTGTCCAGAGGGAACCGATTCCCCCTCAAGGGGGTACCGATTCCCCCTGAATGGTTTTGCTCCAAGAAATAACAGTGTGCTCGGAGGGAACCGATTTCCCCCAGGGGGTATCGATTCCCCTCACTGTCCAACGGTCGAATATTTGAATTTTACACTTAGGGAATCGATTCCCCATGAGGGGGTACCGATTCCCCCCACGCTCCAAGCAGAAATATTAATTGTTTTCACACTTAAACGGCTCCAATAACTTCATTAATGATCCCCAACATTCAGAAGTGATTCAAGATGTATTTAAACAAGCTTAGAAGCCATTGATCAAGAACAAGAAACAACAAGCAACTAGAATCAAGAGAGAATCAAAGAGAAAGCATCAAACCTCAAGTTTGAGCATTTCAAGCCTATTTTTCATTCAATATTCATTTTGCTTTCAAGAACACTTATTGTGCTCAATTGTATTTATTCTTGAGTGTTCTTTCTTTGTTCTAGAATTGTGCAAACATATTTGCCTTGTGAGGTTTTTTCTTGTAAGTTTGCAAATTTGTAATTTTGCAAATTTGTAATTTTGCAAATTTGTGTAATCTTCTCTTTGAAAAAAGAGTGTTCTCAAGAATTGGGGTATATTCTTGAGGGAGTTGTAAGGTTATCTCTTTGGCCTCAAAAGAAAGAAAAAACTAATGAATTTGTTGGAAAATCCTTAGTGTGGATAGCTAAGGTAGTGGACGTAGACTTTGATTGATAAAGTCGAATCACTGTAAATCGCTGTGCAATTACTTTCAATTTTCTGCAAAAGCTTCCACCAAAATTTTTATTGCCAATTCACCCCCTCTTGGCCGATTCCATCGATCGATTAACTCAACAATTGGTATCAGAGCCTTACTCATTTGAAGGTTTAATCACCTCTTGAGTTGATTCGAGAAGAGTTACATGGATTATCAAATCATCAATGGCCTCCACTTCAAATTACGACTCCGGTCTCGATTCAATGCCCGTCAACAAGCCTCATTTCTTCAATTGAGCTAACTATGCCTATTGGAAAAAATAGGATGATGTACTTCATTCAAGAAAATGACATGGAAGCATGGAATGCCGTAGAAGAAGATACATCAAGCCTCTCACTCATCCAAGATTGTTGAGTGAAGGAGAGATAATAATGTTCCAGCTCAACTCCAAAGCCATCCATATTATATTTTGTGCTCTTGGACCAGATGAATACAGAAGAGTTTCATCCTGTACAACCGCCAAATAAATATGGGACAAACTTCAAGTCACTCATGAAGATACCGATGAGGTAAAGAAATCTAAAATTAGTATTCTAACGCATAGCTATGAAAATTTCAGGATGAAACCAAATGAAGATATCAAAGCTATGACGGATAGATTTTCAACGATTGTCAATGGTCTTAAATCATATGGAGAGATCATTTCAAATGAAAAGCTTGTGAGGAAGTTAGTCTACTCCCTTCCAAAATCGTGGCAATAAAAGAAGACGACAATCATCGAGTCTAAGGACCTAACGTCCTTAACTCTTGAAGAACTAATCGATTCCCTTCTCACTCATGAAATGATGCTTGAAGATGAAGTGGACCTCGATAATATTGACGAGACACCAAAGGAGAAA